TGTTATATTCCGATTGTGATCTTCGCAGTGTCATCTTGTGATTGGTTGTCGGGAGTGTGTCAGAGAGAGAGAAACACTGTGTGTATCCTCCCCATTTGTGCATGGTTGCTATTCCACTGCTTATCTCTGGTCTGTGTACAGTTTGGACTCTGTCTCTCCTCCCCTTTGTCTTATGCATGTATGGGCATGTGTGAGATACTTAGAGTGTGAGTGGCGAGAAAATTGTCAGACAACCAAGTTCATAACACTTGGTATCGGAGCGGAGATTGGATTTGGAGCACTGAGGGTTGAGCGCAACAGTGGCATCCCCTTCCTCTGGCCCTATCTGGCAAGAAGTTCCATGGTGGTTCTTTATCTTCAGTGAAGATCCAGTAGAGAAGAGGACATACAAGCGGTGATTGCAAGGATTCAGTGTGCGATTGATCAGGCACCCTGAGCCTGTCTGAGTGCCTGGCAGGATTGGGCGAGAACAGGGGTATTTCGCCATCCACCCTTCTGAGCCCAGTTGATGACTGAGTTCAGGGTGGCGAATTATACCCTGATCCAGTGATAACTGGGTGGCGGCATCAAACCCAGAGTAGCGCTGGGGGAGAATTGATCGCATGATCAATCCCCTGCTGAATGAACCCTACTCAGGGCTAAATTTAGCACTAGCGGCTTACCCCTCCAGTGGCGAGATACTTCCAGGAAAGTTCTCTATCGCTAAGCAGCCAGATTCAGTGAATCTGGGAGTTGGGGGTGAAGCGCCACATCATACTGGGCAAGATCAACAAGTTTCAGGGGATTCTACGCGTGGAGATCAGTGGAGGAGTGTCTGCATGAAAGTGGCGAGATCAGGGTTCTTTCAGCCATAGGCAGAACTTCATCATCCACCGAAGTAGACACTGCAAGTGAGTGTGTTCCGTTTGAATCCCTGAGTATCGATTAGTCTAGCAGCAGTAGAGTCCGAATTGATGGTCTGTTTGTCAGTAGGGTCTCAATATGGGAATTGTCAGACTGCAAGACAGCCATAGCCATCTTCTTCTTCCCTACCCTGACTCATATCTCCCCATCTATTGACCTGTTCTCTCAAATTGGTTTTGGGACTGTATGACAGTATTGCGCTGCACCCTGTATGATCATTTTGTGGGTTCTGTACAGAAAAAGTAGTAATACTGTGAATTTTAGTTTTGCGCTGAGTCTAATTTTAGTAGGCTAACTAGGGTTAGTCAAAACTCAAATTCTGTCCGTCAGAACTTCATTCTGTCAGTCTGGGGTGAATCACAATTCAGTATCTGTCATCTGTGCTGAAGCGCTAGTCCAGAATCAGTGTATTTGAGTAATTACAGTGAAATACTGAAAATCGTTGTGTCAGTGGGTATTTCTGTTGATGTCAACAGTGGTGAAAATTGAGTTCAGGGCTGTCAGGGTCTAGTCTACTGCATCGCTACTACTTGTTGCCCTGTTTCAGTCAGTTCTTGTATGTATCTGTCTCTACCACTGATTATCCTAGTTTTCTGATGGGCTCTGGAATGTTAGTGGCCACTGGAATGCACTGAAATTGTAGGTTCTAACTTCAGTGAAGGTTCAATGTCAGGTAAAGGAAATCGTTAGTGAATGATTTTACTGGACTTACAGTCAGTCTGATTACTGACCCAGTGGTTGTATTCTAACCCTAACCGCTTGTGCCTACTAACCCACCTTACCCTCTGAATTGAGAGTGCAACGATTTCTCAGTGTCTGAGTGGATTGCATATCGCTGCACCTCTTGCTGTCTAACCCTGTTGTTTATTGTTTCTGAAAGCGAAGATGTCTAACGCCGCTGACTCAGGTGAGGGAAAGGTAGAGGTAGTAGTCAAGGAGGAAGAGAAACCTTCCCCCTCTACTCCTACCCCTCCTCCTCTCACCCCTGCTCAGCAGCGGAAGAGGGAAATACAGGAAAAACTGCGAGAGCAACAGGCGCTGCTCGCAGAGGCAGAGAGACGGGAGGCGGTTGAGTTAGAAGCTGCAACAGATGCTTCTCGAAAAGAGTTTCTGCTGCAGCAAGCAGAGAAGACTGTGGCTGATGAGAGAGTGGCCCAGTGCACCAGGTACTTGGCTGAGCTAGTGATCGTGCAGAACAAAATCACAGCCAGCCATTTCACTAACTGGGATGACCGCATTCAGCGTTTGGAATGCAGGATGGGTGATCTGGCGACTCAGCAGTCTAAGTTACTGGATGCCATCCAGGACTTGACTGCTCAGTTGACAGCAGCCAACCTGATTGCACCTGTGGTCCCTGTGGTCCCCTCTCTAAAACCCAAGCAGTCTTCCCATCCTCCTTCACCTCCTTCCTCTCCTCATAGTTCCCACAAGTCATCTCCCTCTACCTCCTCCCAGGCTAAAGTCAAGCCTCCTCCCACTTTTGCTGCTGTTGTTGCGGGGGATCAGCGAGGACCTAAGATCCCTGCACCCAGCAAGTTTAGGGGCGATGACCCCAAAACTGATGTTGGGGACTGGGCTGCAGGAACCCGGGCATACCTGAAGGGTTTCGTGTGCCCAGAATAGCAGAAGGTGGCCACCGTAGTGGGGCTGCTGGAGGGCCCAGCCCAGAAATGGGCTTTATCCACAGCCAGTGCCCAGCAGCAGACCTTGGAGGACTGGGCATTAGCACTGGGGGTGGACAAACTTTTGCAGGCCCTGGAGGACAGGTTTGCAGACAGAGAGTGAGCACGTAAAGATGCTGACAAGATCGTACGCCTTGGACAGCAGCACTACAGTGGCAGTCTACAAGCCCTTTTTGCTGAGTTTGAGCAGCTAACCTCCACCCCTGGTTTGGTTATATCTGCTGATGATTTGCTGACTAACTTTTGCAGGGCTGCGCCTGATAAGTTTTCTGTTGCGCTTTACAGCGTAGGGCATAAGGACTGGAGGTCCTTTGGACGCGCAGCACTGGACATGGAGGCCAAGCTCCACGTTCAGGCCCCCTCCAGTGACAGGAGAAAAGGCGCCTTCCCTCGCGGTGGTAGAAAGGGAAAGGCGACCTTTGCTTATGCGGGCTCTGGGTCAGCCTCTGACACAGGATCCCAGCCTGGTACACCGCCAGATGGGACTGGTTCAGCTGCTGGCCCGGATGTTGCAGCAGTCCTGCAGCAGCTGCAGGCTGCGCTGGGGACCCTCCAAAGGGGTGGTTCCTCCTCCAGCACAGCCTCCAGCAGCAAGGGGAAGAGCCAAGGATGTCGCTCTTCTACCCCTGCCCAGTGCCCTAACCTGTCGCGTGACGTCCGATTCCCAGCAGACCCTTTGAACCCCAACACTCTCCCATGGCATGACCTGAAGATTCAGGAGGGAGTGTGGAGGAAGAGGAAAGAGAGAGGGGTCTGTTTGAGGTGTGAGGGATAACACTTCCTGAAGGACTGTCCCTACATGCCCAGTCCAGCTCAGTCAAAAAACTGAAGCTGACCCTGGAGACTGCAGTTCCCTCCAGTGTTGCACCTGCATCTGCATCTGCAGCAGCTTCAGTTGAGACAAGTTTTGTTCATCCCTGTCTGGGGACTGCGCGGGCAGTATCCTTTTGTTATGAGGATCCTAACCCGGATCAGAAACCGGATCAGTCTGAGTGTCGGTCACTTGCTGCTTTTTTCTTTCACCTGAAAGAACAAAAGAGAAGCAAGTTTGATCTCATACTCCTTCGGCCCCTGATCAACAACATCAGAATCAAGGGGTTATTAGACTGTGGAGCCACCGGAAACTTCATGTCTCCCAGTGCAGTCAAAAAACTGCATCTGGGCATAAAAGTGGTGCAGCTGCAGCAACCGCTGCAGGTCAGGATAGGTGACTCCACTGTTCTGACCATCAGGGAGAAGGTCAAGGGTATCCCTGTTACCTTCGACAGTGCTGGAGAAGTCAGACATAGCCTGAACTTCTACATATTCCCTGATCTACCCTTTGATCTGGTTTTCTCTATGCAGTGGCTGAAAGCAGTCAACCCAAGGATCGACTGGCAGATCCCCAAGGTTGAGCTGCCTGACAGCAAGGGGGTGTATCAGCCATGCCTGATTGCAGCTGAACACCACCCTAAGACTTCTTGCTTCTGCTTGAGAGCGAGGGAGTTTTACGCCCTCTCACGCTAGTATGATCATGAGCGTCTGTTCATAGCCCTGGTCAAGCAAACAGACGCCCCTACTGTTTCTTGTCCTCCTGAGGTACAGCAGGTGGTTGACCAGTATGCTGATTTGATGCAGGAGCCCGTTGGGTTGCCCAACCGGCCAACCAAGCATCGCATTGAGCTGCTGCCTGAAGTGGTCCCTCCTAAGGGCCGCATCTACAGGATGTCCCCTGCTGAGCTTGAGGAGCTCAGACGACAGCTTGAGACCCTGACCAGCAAAGGCTGGATCAGGCCCAACACTTCTGAATTCGGCGCCCCAGTCCTCTTTGTTCCCAAAGGGAGTGGCGAGTTCAGAATGTGCATCGACTACAGGGGTCTCAACAAGATCACTAGGAAGAGTACAGAGCCACTTCCTAGGATCGATGACCTTCTGGATATGGTTCTGGGATGCACCATCTTTAGCAAAGTCGACCTCGAGTCTGTTTATCACCAGATTGAGATGGCAGAGGAGGATGTCCACAAGACAGCCTTCAAAACCAGATATGGTACATATGAGTATCTGGTTATGCCATTTGGACTTTGCAATGCACCTGGCACATTCCAGACAGAGACGCACCGCATCTTCAGGCCTTACCTGGACAAGTTCATGGTCGTCTACCTGGATGATATCCTGGTATTCAGTCGGACTGCCAGGGAACATGCGGAGCATTTGGCTCTTGTCCTTTAGTCATTACGTGACAGCCAGTACAAGATCAACAAAGAGAAGTCCTCTTTTGGAGTTCCCTCTGTCATCTACCTGGGCCACATAATCTCTGGAGATGGTCTGGCTCCTGAAGCAGCTAAGATTGCTGCTATTCAGGAGTGGCCACAGCCACAGACAGTAAGAGATGTTCGGTCTTTCTTGGGTCTGGCTTCCTACTACAGAAAGTTCGTCAGGAACTTTTCTGCAGTGGCGGCACCCCTGACTAACCTCACAAACAAAGACACTCCCTTTCTTTGGTCCCTTCACTGTCAGATGGCCTTTGCACGACTCAAACAGGCCTTGACTCGTGCCCCTGTATTGAAGTTACCTGACCCCACATTGCCTCTTGTCCTGACTACTGACGCCAGTCAGTATGGCATTGGGGCAGTGCTTCAACAGGATGATGGGAATGGTCTACGGCCCGTGGAGTACATGAGCAAGAAAATCAAATCTCAAAAGCTTCAGGACTCCACCTACGAGAAAGAGTTGTATGCTCTTGTCAGTGCCCTGAAACATTGGAAGCACTTTCTCCTGGGAAGACACTTCAAGATCTTCTCTGATCATTCCACTCTACAGTGGTTGAAGTCCCAGGGAGAGTTAAATGATAAGTTGGCATGCTACATTCAGTTCATCGACATGTTTGACTTTGAACTGAAACACAAGAAGGGTTGCTACAATAAAGTAGTTGACGCCCTCTCTCGTAGGCCTGATTCTTTTGCGCAGATCTCCTCTACTCATTCCTTTGGAGAGGAGTTTCGTCAGACCATTGCTCGCTTACTGCCTCAGGACCCGACTTATGGACCCATTGTCAGGAATCTGCAAGGAGATCCCAATTCTGAACCTGGCTTTGCCACGAGTTCAGATCTGTTGTACACTTACAACAGAGGAGAGGAGCGCTTGTGCATTCCTGAGGATCAACAGCTTAGGACACTGCTGATGTCAGAGTGCCACGATGCGCGTGGACACTTTGGGTTCTTGAAGTCGTATGCAGCCTTGTCGCAACGCTTTTTCTGGAAGGAGATGCGGAGTGATATGTTGCGCTATGTGGAAACCTGTGAGCTATGTCAGAGGAATAAGGTTCAGCGGAAACCTCCTCTGGGATTGCTCAAGCCCTTACCCATACCTGATGGTCCTGCTCAGTCTGTATCCATTGACTTTACAGACTTAGGCAAGACCACCCCTCGTGGCATGCGTCAGGTCATGGTCTGCGTTGACAGGTTTTCCAAATACGCAGAGTTCATCCCCTTGCCAGAGGTAGCGAGGGTCCCGGCTGTGAGAGCAGCCTTCTCTGAGAGGTGGGTCACTCACCATGGACCGCCCACCTCTATTGTCAGTGATCGAGATCCACGTTTTTGCAGCGATGAGTGGCAGTCCTATTGTAAGGACTACTTGCACTCTCGTCTAGACATGACGTCTGGTCGTCATCCTGAAGCCAATGGTCAGGCTGAAGTAATGAACCAGGTCCTGTTCCAGCTSCTGTGTCCTGTTATCTCCCCAGACCAACAGGACTGGGATCTCCACCTTGCGAGGGCACAACTCATGTATAACATGTCTGTCCACTCCTCGACCGG